ATTCTATTCTATTCTATTCTATTCTATTCTATTCTATTCTATTCTATAAAAAGTTGGAAAAGGAGAAAAGGAGAAGAGAGAGCTAAATTTTCAAGATCAGGAAGAAAGTGTTGTACCTGATGATTCTTGACTCTGGACGAATGTCTCTTTTCTTTGATGTAGACTGAGAGCATTTGCACCAAAGACAAATTCCTTGTGTGTCCAATCATACTTGGCCAATCAAAGAATTATCATTCTAATATCTGAACAGGGGTGGGATGCAATTTTTTTAACTACTGGTTCTGTGGGCGTGGCCAGGTGGTCATGTGACTGGGTGGGGTTTTGTTTTTGTTTTTTTGCCTCCTGGGCCTCGATTTAGATTAGCCAGAAAGCAAGAAATCCGACGATTTCCTGCTTTCTAGCTGATCTAAGTCACGTGGCACAGCTGATCTTCGGAAAACAGCTGATCTTCGGAAAACAGCTGATCGGTGGGGGAGAAAGGAAAAAAAGAAAGACCTTGATTTTCCGAGCGAACTGGTTCACTTGAACTGGGCTGAACTGGTAGAATCCTACCCCTGGATTTGAAGTTCTAATGGACACACACACACACACACACACACACACCCATAGTCATGTAACCAGCCACTATTTAGGGGCATTTGCAGCTGTCTGAGGACATCTGCATGCAATTTGGCATGTTTTCTCCTGAAGCCAGCATTTTCTTCCAGCTCTTGACAAAGTCAAAGTCCTCGACTTACAACCAAGTTACAACGGCACTGAAAAAAAGTGACCTATGATCCCATTTTTCACACTGGTCACACGATCAAAATTCCAGAGATGTTGGCATCTGACTCGTATTGACGGACGAGTTGCAGCGTCTTGGGGACCCCCCCCTTTTTGCGACTTCTGCCAAAACCAAGTCAAGGGGAAGGCGGATTCACTTAACAACTGTAGGGATTCACTTAACAACCATGGCAAGGAAGGCCGAAAAATGGGGGCAAAGCTCACAGAACAAAATGCCTCGCTTAATGACAGAAACTTTGGGTCGTAAGTCAAGGACTACCCGTAGAAAAGGAAGAAAGGAAAACATTGGCCGATGTCTGGCCTAGGGGCCTTTTCAAACTGCCGATGGCCACCATTTTGAGAGTGCACCCACTGCCAGCCTTCCCAAAGGGCTACCTGTAGCTCCAGCCAGCTTGGGGGCTGCGTCCTGGTCCCATTGACAAACGTCCTTCTGAGCCTCTCTTCACAATAAGGGCCATACCCCGGCGGACCCCCGATGATGAAGTTCCTTAAATACTGTTGTGGAGACAAAAAGCGAACACGAAAAAAAAAATAATTAGTGATAACTATTACATTTTGAGAAACAAAATCAGAAATTTTGGCCCGTAATTTAGCCTACTTCTTCACTCAATGTACATCCAGGAATTATTTTCCGAAATGTATTTAGTTATCATTCAATCACCAGCTGTCAACTCAGAATAAAACATTCCTCGGCCTGTTTTAGTAGTTGCCATAAAAAAGGAGGGTGGGTGGGAGGAAGAAAATAGGGAAGAGCAGTGCAGCAGTTTGGAAGCGTAAGTACGTTCCAACTCTTTATCTTTAAAAGACTGTAACTAAACTACCAGAGCTTTTACCCACGAATATATTTAATTGGAGAACGGGATTGATGACACCCAGCCTGTGAACGTGCTGATTTGGAGAATCTGATTTATGACACACCCAGGGAGGAAGGGGGGGGGAACAGGGTCACAGGGGACTATAAATTATGTTTGCCAGAGTTGGCTTCATACAGGCCAGTGCTAGGATGTCGCCTCGAATGAGTCCTTGGAAGTTTTTTGAAGTTTGGCTCGAGAATCGTGATTTAATTAGGGCGATTGCTGGAATCCTGACACATTAGATAAGCGTCAGTTTAGCCCAGACAAACAAAAGTGAGGAAAGCTGTGAAGATTGTCCACCTTATTTATCTTTCTTGTAAAAAGGGAAGGGGGAAAAATGTCTCTCGTGCTTTCAAGATTCTGTTATTGTACTTTAAAAATGCAGAATTCCAATAGTTTACGAAGAGTCTGTTTCTTGCTTTAAGCTAGTCGGTGTGATCGCAAATATTTAAAGGTACCCAGAGCAGCGTGCATTGAAATGAAATAAGGAACTAGAAAAAAATAGAAAACCTAAGAAATGAAATGAGGGAAATAGAATGAAGTGGAAATAAAAAGAAAATGAATTAAGGACATGGGGAGGAGGAAGAAATAGAAATAACAGAAAAGAAATAAGGAAATGGAAGAAAAAGAAAACCCAGAAATGATAGAAAGGAAATAGATAGAAAGGAAATAATAGAATGAAGTAGAAATAGCAACATTAAATAATAAATAATAATAAAATGGCAGGGAAAAAGAACCAGGGAATACAATCAAGAAAATAGGTGCATATTGGCAATTCTAAAATAAATCAAACAGGGTATACTCTAGAGTAGGTGATGTGTGAGCAACACAAAATGGAAAGGATCTTGATACTCAACAAATTACAATGTCCTGGCTTCCTCTCCTCCAAAACGCAAATGAAGATGGAATATACCAGCCTTTCTCACCCAGGTAAGTTTTCGGAGGTTCTTGGAAGCCAAAATATTTCCCTCAAAAATATTCCCATCTCCCAGACCAAGCAGGTAGTCCCTTGACTCACCTTGACAAATTTCTCAGAGGGGGCGAAGCAGCCCACACACAAGGACACCAGGATCCATCCTCTGGCATGGCTGTTTTTGGAAGGATTTTGGGTCAGCTGTTTGCAGATTTGGCAGTAGATTTCATCTCTGCCACAAGAAGAAGAAGAAGAAAAATGAGTGATTGATCCAACTTCACTTGTTCATCGAATCCGTTTGAAAAAATTTGGAATCTCCAAATCTTGAAATCTTCAAATTTTGCAGTCTCCAAATTTTGGATTCTCCGTATCTTGGAATCTCAAATCTTGGAGTCTCCAAATATTGGAATCTGGAAATCTTGGAATTTGGAAATCTTGGAATCTGAAAATCTTGGGAAGTTCTCCAAATCTTGGAATCTCTAAATCTTGGAATCTCCAAGTGTTGGAGTCTCCAAATCTTGGAACATTCTGAGGTATAAGTGAAAAACCAAGCACATCCACAAGGTAGATTCAAAGAAAGTTGCGATGGTACCCATGGTGTCCTGATTGAAAATCCATGGTTGTGTCACCATCTTGCCTTTTTTTGACTTCTTCCCTGTTATGGTCTTTAGATATTAGGGCACAATGCTTCTCTGATAGCAGTTGGTTGCTGATATTTTGGTGTACATCTCTGCAATGCACACCTGGAGCTTTTCTGCTTTTTTCTTCTTGATTTCTAACCTTAAAGTTGGCCTCAGGATGCCGTTCCCAATAATGAAATGCAGTTTCTCCAAATTGGATGTTGGGCGGTCCTCCAACATGCTGTTTCCATGGACGGTGGACTCACCATCGTGAAGGCGCTTGGTCACCTGATGAAGCAACAGGTATAAGGCACAGGTACAATTCGTGAAATAGATCCAGGTGGCAAAATTCCCAGTCCTGAACCCAAGGCAAGCAGGAATGTGAGGAAGACTCATCTCTTCACCCTATGCTCAATCTATCTAGAAGAGGGCTCTCCAGAGTCAGCCAAATTTAAGACTTGTGGACTTCAACTCCCAGAATTCCCCAGCCATGATGGCTGGCTGATGAATTCTGGGAGTTGAAGTCTACAAGTCCTTAAATTCTAAGAGTTGAAGCCCACAAGTTTTAAAGTTGGAATGTAAGGAGGACTCACCTCTTCACCCTAGTCTCAATCTATTTAGGCCAGGGCTCTCTAAAATTGGCAAATTGAAGACTTGTGGACTTCAGTTCCCAGAATTCCCCAGCCATGATGGTTGGCTGATGAATTCTGGGAGTTGGAAGTCCATAAGTTTTAAATTCTGGGAGTTGAGGTCCACAAGTTTTAAAGTTGCCAAGTTTGGAGACCCCTGATCTAGAACAGTGATGATGAAGTTGTGACGATGTGGGTCCCCACACTTATGACTCACGCAACTTTCCCACAGTCACGTGATTGTGATCCAACAAGTTGCTTGCATTTATGACACTTGAAGTATCCTGGGTTACTTCAAGCAAAGTCAATGGGGGAAGCCAGATTCACTTAATGACTGCCTGATTCACTTAACAATGGCAGTGATTCGCTCAGCAACCGTGGGCAAAAAAAAAAAAAGCTTTCAGGGTTCTGGCATTTACCCGATTAAATCATGAGCCTCGATCCAAACTTCCAAAACTAAACAGGATTTATTGGGAGTTAACATGCCATGTCGGTGTAGCCGACTCTGAGATACATCATTCATTGTCACCCTTGACCCTGGTTTTCCCTCCACCCCCTGGGTGTATCATAATTCATATTCTCCAATGGGACACCTCCCTAGCCCAGAGTCATCAATCGTGCTCTCTAGCTAGAATTTTGCATGGCAGAAATTTCAGTCACCTAGTTACTATCTTTGAACAACTATGTATGGAATGCACTTTCGATTTCCAAGCTGCTGCATTGCTCTTTCAAACCCCTTTCTCCCCCTCCCTTGCCTAAAATGGGGCAAAACTCACTTGACAAATGTCTCGCTTAAGAACAGAAACTTTGGGCTTGATTGTGGCCGTAAATCGAGCCCATTAAAAGCCCACGACTGAACTGCTTGGGGCTTTTAAATTCTCGTTAAGAAATCTGCCTGCAAATGCCTTACTTAGTTGGTAACTTCACCTACTCCTGCCAGGATCCAAAATCTTCCTCCCACACTTAATTTGCAAGCCAACCAAAATAAGAATCAAGATTCTGGCAGTTCCCCCAAATTAAATCCTGAGTCTTGAGCCAAACTTCCAAAACTTCAAAAGGATTTATTGGGTGTTAAAATGTCTGGCACTGCCTGGGTGTAGCTGACTCTGAGGCACATCATTCATTGTCACCCTTGACCCTGGTTTCCTCCACCCCCTGGGTGCACCATAATTCATATTATCCAATGGGACACCTCCATAGCCCAGAGTCATCAATCATGCTCTCCAGTTAGAATTTTGCAGCGGCAGAAACTTCACTCATCTAGTTACTATCTTTGAACAAATATTTATGGAATGCACTTTCGGTTTGCAAGCTGGCGCACTGCTCCTCCCTCCCTTTCTGTTGGCAACCCTAGAAATATTTTATGAGTTGACCCCACGGCTGACTTACAACTGTTTTGCTGAGCGATGGACATTTTGGGCTCAGTTGTAGTCATAAGTCGAGGACTACCTGTACGATCAAGATTTTACCCTCTGCTTCTAACTTACGGTAACGACAGTGCTAGCAAATCCTGTTTGCGGGACTCTAACCTGGAGAAAGCCAAGTTTCTCCACTCGGACTGTGATCGGTGGGCTGGATGGTGGCTTACTCACCTCTTCGGTTAACTTTGATTTTTTCTTGAGGGTTAAAGAGACCAATTTCTGCCGCACACTGCTCTTCTTATGGCCATCTAGATGAGCGCTCTGTAAAAGAAATATCCCAGTGTCAGGAATAATCCTATTTTATACCAGTATTTCTCAACTTGGCAACTTTAAGACGGGTGGACTTCAACTCCCAGAATTCCCTTGTAGCATAGACTTATATTTCTTTCAATTTCTCCCTTGTTCTACCTCTCCCTTGTTCTACCTCTTCCCTGCTCTGCCCAGCCGGACTTTGCCCTTTCCCAGTTTCCTCCACAGCCAACGGAGTCACACTCCCACTCTCTGTGTCGGCTGTTCAGCTTCCTCCTCCAAGTCAGATTCTGACTCCACTCATATAAGAAAGATAAACCAGGTGGACAAACTTCAATGCTTTCCTCACTTCTGTTTGTCTGGGCTAAATTGACGCTTATCTAATGGTTGTTGAATTCCTTCTGCAAAGACACCTCCGTCCACTTCCGTGGTTGCTGTTCTATTCTTCCTTTACCAAAACCACAGAAATGAGACTTGCCGGGTTCTTACTTACTTCTCCGTCACTTTGAAGGGCCTGGAGTTCCTTCTTGTAGGACTTCTTCCCCAGCGTCTCGTAAATTTTGGTCATGACCGGGATTTTCTCGCTGCCGTCGCTCATCGCGGTATGGTATTTGGGCTCAGGAAGGTCCCCCATAAAGCGAAGAATGGTGATCCACACCGCGAGGGCTGCCTGGTTTTTGCGGAAAAGAAAATACGGTCCGCAACCGAGCCCTCAAATTTCCATCACTAAGCGAGACAGTTGCCCAATGAGTTTCACCCCATTTTACGACCTTTCCCTCCCCAGCGGTTAAGTGAATCACCACAGTTGTTAAGATAGTTAAGTGAATCTGGCTTCCCCATTGACTATAATTGTCCAAAGTTTGCCTAAGGGGCGGGCATTACGACTGTCATAAATAGGAACCAGTGGCCAAATGTCCAAATTTTGACCACATAACTGTGGGGAATGCTGCAATGGTTGTAAGTGTGGAAAATGCTTGTAAGTCCCTTTCTCCAGTGCCGCTGCAACCTCAAAAGGTCACTAAACGAACGGCCGTAAGTCAAGGACTACCTCTAAGAAACCAGAGATCTCCACAACCTGCCCTTTCATTCTCTACCCAAGCTCTCTAAGGAAACTCACCAGCTGGTCCCCTTCGTCCTCGTGGTACAACAGAGGTTGTTTCAGAGGCCGGCGTACATACGTGTGCGTGGTTGTGCCCTGGAAGTACGTGGCAGCAAATTTTGCAAACTTATATTCCGATAAGTCCTCTTCTTCTTCCTCGGGCAGTGGGAGAGCCATATCTAAGTCGTCTTCTTCCAGCACCCTTCCGACCCTTTCGAGATCCTGCAAAGAACCCGCCAGAAATTGGACTCAGCTCAAAACTTGTTTTAGACAGAAGGATGGAATGGACGGGTCATTTAAAGGCCAACTCGCCCCAAAGATGCTGTTTTATTTTCAAAAGTAAAACAAAATAAAATAAAAAATAATAAAATAAAATAATAAAATAAAATAGTAAAGTAAAGTAAAGTGAAGTAAAAGAAAAGAAATAAAATAAATAAAATAAAATAATAAAATAATAAAATAAAATAAAATAATAAAATAAAATAAAATAAAGTGAAGTGAAGTGAAGTGAAGTAAAATAAAGTAAAGTAAAGTAAAGTAAAGTAAAATAAATAAAATAAAATAAAATAAGATAAGATAAGATAAGATAAGATAAGATAAGATAAGATAAGATAAAATAAAATAAAATAAAATAAAATAGTAAAGTAAAGTAAAGTAAAGTAAAGTAAAATGAATTAAATAATAAAATAAAATAAAATAATAAAATAATAAAATAAAATAATAAAATAAAATAATAAAATAAAAAATAATAAAATAGAATAGAATAAAATAAAATAATAATAAAATAAAATAAAATAAAATAAAATAA